CTCAAAGAGTCTTGTGTTCGAATTGTAGAAGAGGTACCTATCATATTTATGCACTAGTAGCATTTTGAGCACTTGATTTCTGAAAGAAAAAAAAAATGATAAAGCAAAAGCAGCAGAAGTGAGAAGAAGAAGAAGAAGAAGAAAGCAACTTCATCACTAAGGCGTTCATCTCCATTCTCTGAGGGAGACTGAACTGGATTAAATTAAATTTTAATGCAAAAGAATGTATAGATAGAGTTTATTGGCCAGTTTAGTCAATTCCATCTCCAACTTTATAATAATAATTAGAATAATATAATTCTTCACTGAATTCATAATGTCAAGTTGACAACACAATGCTAGATCTTTTGGTAATATTTTATGTTATACATTTCATGACACTATATTATTGAATTAATACCATTATATATTGAATTAATGATAATCAAATGTTGATAATCAAATGTTGAATTAATGATAATCAAATGTTGATGCCATACTGTCACTCTGAAGTCAACAAGAAGTTTGAATAGAGATGGTAGGTTTTCCACTTGGCATTGATCAAGTTATCCTTGACTAACTCTTCTCCCCCTCCTTTGAGATACCCCTATAAATTATAATCTCGCAAAACCAAAGAGGTCAAATAGAGTCGACGAGGGTCTTCAACGTTCAAATCAATAACACACATCAACTCTTAGAAAAATTAATGACTAACTATTAAATGAAGGAAGAGAACAATGTTATCGACAATTATATGGGTAAAAAATCGTCTTGACGAGATGCCCAATAATAAAATAAACATGTCACGATCCAACGCTTTAGCCCAATTCTAATTAGGCATATGCTTAAAGTCACCTTGTGAACTACCCACGCTATGAGTCGGGTTATCCTATAAGTTAAGCTGAACTGAGTTCCGACCCATTAGCCTACAACAATCCATAAATAGGAAATCAAAATCTTATTTTATTTCCTCTTCTGTTAAGATTTTGAATCTTACTCAAACTAATAAACTTAATCTAATAAAGGCAATTAATCTTATTATTATCTCCCATAGTAGGATTTAGTGTCCTGCTAGGATTCCAACCCCTTAAGTTCACTATATAAACAGAGGTATGTCCTCTCATAATTTATTCAATCTCCACTACTCAAAACCACCTACTTGTTCCTAAGTTTTTGCTCCCGAGAACCCGACACCTTTGTCGTAGATCTGGCCTCCGACACGACTCCAGGTAACCCTTATTTCCCTTAATTCTTATTAAATAGCCTTTTTCAACCATACTGACTTTAGCGTCGAAGTGGCTACAGTAAACACCACCCCGGTGTAGGTTCAGCGGATTGTCAGTAACCTCAACCTCACGGGGTCATATCCTATTTCCGTAACCATGGATTTTTTGCATCTACAACAATGGCATTGGCATAACATCCCACTATGTATAGTTCTCGGGTTATGGACTAGCGCCGATCCTAATTCCTAGGGATATAAGTGTCTATTTTCTATTAAAGTAGCTCTAGGTAATATTTTGAGACGTTCTTTATGCGAGCCTCTTTAAACAAAATTTATTGCTAATGATTCTATGATCCCTAAAAGATATAGTCAATGAGAAATAATTTGGGGATAGACAAATCGGAAAAATGATAATAGTTATAGATACAATTTTCCATTAACAAACACAAAAAATGTAAAATGTTATTATGTAGTATGGGTCAAAAGACATCTTTTATGGCTGAGGTAGTGACTATTTTCCAAGAAAGGGGTGTTGGAATACACTATTGTGATAGCCTATAACGGCGGATTCCCCCACTACATCACAATGCCTCGCTCCTCACACAGAAGCAACTTTAGCTAAATATTTTATGTACGGTGAACGACATATTTTAATCATTTATGATAATCAATAATGTTACAGACATCGGTATTTTTACATCGAAATCTTGTACCGGCTTACGTGTCTCATGATTCACACCAGCAAGCCATACACATTTCACGTTATTAAATTTTTTCTAATGAACGGTCGTTCATCAAATATGGACGACCGTTCACTTACATGGACCCCTGTTCATATTACATGGACAAGAGTCCATGTACTATGGACGGACGTCTCCATCTAAAGGATGCCCGTTCATTAGTGAAAAAATATAAACAAAATTAAGGAACGGCTGTCCATAACTTGGGGACAGCTGTCCTAAAAAATGGATGGGCGTCCTCATATAAGTGGACGCCCGTCCAATATTTTAATAATAAACTTTTATTAAACAAAACTAATGGACCGACCTTCATATGGTAATGGACGCCCGTCCATTAACAATGCTTTAAAAAAAAAAAAAAAAATTTGGACGCCTCATGTGTATGTGTCCAGCCTCTCTCTCTCTTTACGTGTCTGTTTTGTGGGTCTGCCCAACCTCTTCTACCTTCCAACAAACTTTTATTCACACTTTTAAAACTTCCATTATCCAACATTCTCGGTTCTTCTTTCAATATTGTTTGTGGAGCCCCACAATGGAAGGCCATGAGTTCTCAATCCCATCAACACCACCAATATTGCCACCGCTTAACCCTAACCCTCCCTGTCTTTTCACACCTTCACTTCCATCTTCATCACTGCCCCCTCCTCTTGAACCTCAAATACTTCCAGACATTGGCTGGGCTACCCTTTTTTTGGGTCAATCAGGGGTGGGGGGTGACAATGGTCCGATGATGGAAAGTAGTTGTGTGATGGCTGAGAATCGAGGTGAAGAAGAAAAGGGATATAAGGAGAATAAGAGGAAAAGCAACAAAGTGAAAAAAGCGAGCCAGCCTAGGTTTGCGTTTCAGACTAGCAGTGCTGATGATATCCTTGATGATGGTTACAGGTGGAGAAAATATGGACAGAAAGCCGTCAAGAACAGCACATATCCCAGGTGACCACACTTCTTCATATTATGATTCTACTACTTCTTCTTGTTAAATAAAACATGGATCGTTTATATATTGCTTGCATCGCATTCGCATCTTTTTGACAACCATGTTCAATATAATTTTCATTCCTTCTAGACTTTGCACTTCATTTCCTATACTTTTCAGGTTTTTACAGCAAAAATGCCACACTTATACATATTCATGCGTGAAATTAACCAAAATATATTTTTATCTTGCACGCAGAGAGATATATAAATGTAACGTGGTTAGCTCTTTGTGTTTTCTTGATTTTCATATGTAAATATTGTTGAACCAGCATTCTACGGGATGAGTAGTTTATCAACAAGAAGTTCAGTCTAATATCTATTCTCTCCTTCACGTTTACCTCAAAGCACTTCTTTTTCATAAAAATGGACAAAAGGAGCTACTACCGCTGCACACATCACACATGCAACCTTAAGAAGCTGGTACAAAGGCTATCAAAAGACACGAGCATTGTGATTACAACTTATGCTTTACTTTAGGGACGGCCGTCCATTACTTGTGGACGGGCGTCCAAATTTTTTTTTTAAACCATTGTTAATGGACGGGCATTCATATGGTCGTGTCTATTAATTTTGTTTTATAAAATTTTATTATTAAAATTTTGGACGGGCGTCCATTATATGTGGACGCCCATCCATTTTTTGGGACGATCGTCCCTTAATTTTGTTTATATTTTTTCACTAATGAATGGGCGTCCTTTAGATGGAGACGTCCGTCCATAGTACATAAACTCTTGTCCATATAATATGAACGTGGATCCATGTAAGTGAACGGCCGTCCGTATTTGATGAACGACCGTTCAATAGAAAAAAATTTAATAACGTAAAACGTGTTTGGTTTGCTGGTGTGAATCATGGGACACGTAGGCCGGTACAAGATTTTGGTGTAAAAATGCCGGTGTCCGTAGCATGATTGTATGATAATCCTTCCAAACAAGTACATGCTTATTGAAAAATATCTCTTCTATTACAAAATCTGCCCATCGCGAAGCAAATCCAAGAGATGTAGGGGTGTTTGTTTCTCTATTTTGGGTAGGATTTGTTTCCTATTTTGAAAATCTTATTCTATTCTATTTAACTATTTTTAAACCCCCTGAGTTTGTTAATTTAACTAAACACCCTCAATAAAAAGTTTAAAAATTGACAAAAACACCCCACCCACCCACATTTTCTAGACTTTGGGCACCACTACTAGAATCTGGCGTAATGGTGCACTACCAGCTGGATTTAGCCTGTAGTGCATCGATCTAGCCTTTTTGGCCAGATCTACCACGGATCTAGTTGAAAAAGACTAGATCTCGTCGTAGAACTAACCTTTTCGGCTATATCTATGGTGGATCTGGTTGGAAAATGTCATATCGATGCACGACTAGCTAGATCCAACTAATTGTGTGCCATTACAGCGACTTCCAACCACCCTCCGACGATGGTGATCAGTTGTTGGCTTTTAATAGGGTGGGTGTATGTGTTTTTTTTAATTTTCAATATTTTATTATAGAAGTGTTTAGCTAAATTAATAAACCTAGAGTGGTGTTTTTGTTAATTTTTAAATTCTACCTCATAATAACTATCCAACTCAACTATTTTAACAATCCTATCCAAAATAATAAAACAAACACACCCTAAAGATGTTGATTGCATTCACAACTTTTGAAACAAGCCACTAAATAACTTAGGTCAATAATTATATGCTTGAATTATATAGAGATTAAAGAACTTATATACAAATGAAAGTTTGCTACAAATTAAAGTTCTATATGGCTATGGTATTTTAACAAAATTTCAAATATAGGAGTTTAAAAAAATGATTCAAAAAATAATAATAATAAATAATATTATATTAATATTTGAAAAGAAAGACAATTTAGTAATCTATATAACATACACACCTATTTATCTTTCCAACCAAACATATTATTCACTAATTTATTCGAATCAACCAAACACATTTTCTAAATATTTCTAATAATCTTTAAGGTGATCTATCTTTCCGTTAATATAACATCCCCCTATAAGAAAATATTATATGATCCAAACACCCCTATGAAATAACATTTAACATAGAATATCATGTTCGTAACATTGACGGTTCGTAACATTGAAGGTTATAATGAAAACGTCACAAATATGATGTTTCAAGTATTGAAATCTAATAACAAATACGCAAAATTATACACTAACTTTCCTTATCCAGAAGTTCCAAATGAAATACTTACAGAAGAGATGTTTCACGAATAAACACATTGAAATTCCTCTCTATACACTCAGGATGAAAAATTCAATTGTCTAATATTACTTGTATACAATGAAAACATCTCCAACACTAAAAGTTCTACTTCAGTTGGAGTTTCAAAATGCTGCCAAAATCAATAAATTAAGTTGTTGTTTCATCTTCAGTGGCAGAATAGAAAAAGCTATGCACATATGAAATACAAGGCAGAATGAGTAGTATAATTCTCCCAGTTTCGGTAAGTGAAGATATTTCCTACCTTCCCTCGGATATTGCATCTCTGAATTGGCTGATATTTAGTGGAGAATGTAATGGCTTGACTCCTGGGCTGAGATCAGTTGGATTGTCACTTTTATTCTTGGTGTAACTTGCTGAAGATGAAGATGTGCCAATATCGTCATTTGTAAAGGTATTTGTTACATCATTAAAATCCCAATCAGACAAATAACTTGGCTTTGATGTAACAGCTCCCACTTCTATGTCTCCAGTAAGCATGTTCACAACGCGTGACATGGGTGGCCGTAACATTGGTGATGCTTGAGTGCACAAGAGAGCCACTGCTATTACTCGAAGAGCTTCATTTTCATCGAACTCTGTCAGTGTGGCATCAACCAGCCCCAAACTTTGGTTGCTTTCATGCAGACTCCAGGCCTAGAAGTGTAATACAGACGATTAAAAAAATTAAGAGTACATTAAACTAGGGTACATGGAAGAAAGCAAACAAACAAATCAAAATTAATGTAATTGTCTCTACCCATTCAAGAAGATAAACTTTTTCCCTATCCAAGCTAGTATCAGAGTTTGCTCTCCCACTAATAATCTCCAAAGCAACAACACCAAAACTGAATACATCAGCCTTTTCTGTCAGGTGTCCACGCATTGCATACTCCGGTGCCAGATAGCCACTGCAAGATAATAAGTGTTTCGAAAGGTTAGAATCCAAAAGTCTGTCTAAATACGTGATTGTGTCAAACTGAAACTGAAAGCAGGCCTATACAATGTGCCCATGCATTGACAATGTGAAAACATTCTGAATTTAGAAACTTATATAAATACAAAGCCATTGAATGACATATCTACTCCAAAGAAATTATTCTAGCATCTATGACTAGGTGACGATAAAAAATGATGGTTACTTCCATGATGACATGTATAAATTACACTACACAGCACATTCCAAAACAAGCTACAATGGAAGAAAGGTAATCAAGAAATGATCGGAGGAGTTTACATGGTCCCTGCAACTCCTGTGCTGATGTGAGTTTTCTTATCATCAACCAGCTTGGCCAATCCAAAATCTGAAATCTTGGGAGAGAGTTCTGTATCAAGTAAAATATTACTTGCTTTGACATCTCGATGTACAATCTTCGGCCTTGACTCCTCGTGAAGATATGCCAAACCTCTTGCGGTTCCCAAGCATATCTTAAATCGGGTGGGCCAATCAAGATGTAACACCCTTTTTCCTGCAGAAATGGGGCACAATCATTAAGAACTTTAACAGTTACAGAAATGGAAAATTGAGTATTCAGGAATAATAATCTCCAGGAATGATTTGGAGCTCATTAAACCATTGACAATCTGCTCTAGAAAAACCTGTTGCTTGCTCTAAGAAATTTAGCTAGCTATTTTTATATCTTCTTTAGAGCTGTGATGTTGTCACTAAAGGCATATTACAAAGCAGAAAATATTTCATTCTTTAAACTTTGGACTGGTTAAAATACTTGAAAGTCATCAAAATTGTACTCTGTACTGCCAAATTTATAGTTAATAAGTGACCATAGATCATACAAGAAAGATCACATGTACAATGTTTCAGTTGCTTGCAAGAAAACTAAGATAGAAAATTGTAAAACTAAGTTTGATTATGAAATGGCAGTTTCCTCATACCAAATAATGCTTGATCGAGGCTTTTGTTTTCATGATATTCATAAACAAGAAGGCGCCTTGTTCCTTCAATGCAGCATCCATACAATTTCACAAGATTGCGATGTTGCACTGCAGTTATGGCAGCAATCTCGTTAATAAACTGATTTTTCCCCTGGTGGGATCCTTTTGAAAGTTGCTTCACAGCTATCACCCTTCCATCAGAAAGTGTACCCTGTAGTGCCAGATTTAACAACATAAATCATATCTACTCCTTGGTGAAAATGCAAAAACTAAAACCGACCTAGTTTTCCTGTTATATTGCTATCTATGACCACGCATTAGATATAATCCATTGCAACCCAAGATTCCAGTAAACTATCTATAAGTTGTAACTTCTAAATGTAGGACATAGAGGTTACCTTATAAACTGGTCCAAATCCTCCCTCTCCTAGCTTATTTGAAACATCGAAGTCTTTTGTTGCAGATTTCAACTCGGCGTAAGTAAAAGTCTTCGGTTTAGGTCCTATTCCAAGTAGTACTGCATATTGAAGCAAGACAAATGATTACATAACCTTGAAGGACTTGCAGTGGAAGAGAAGAATTACAGTAGCAGCTTTCCCTGTCTTATGGAATACACTACTGCTAGCCCATATTTTATCATTGTTGTAACAATGAGATATTATAGATCCAGTATTTATGTTTCAAGAGTGCTAGAACACAATTCAACACTTCTGTTACAACCATATTCTGGTATCTACTTTTCTCAGATGCCCAGAGAACCTTTAACTTTGAGCAGAAGTGAATAATGCAAATTAATTGATTTTCATGAAGAAACTTGGTTTCAGAGATTTTATGACTAACTTTACTGTTAAATTCTATTGGGTTCTCTTACCTTCCGTATCATCTTTGTCTTTTCTCATCCTCAAGTAAAAAACTAAAAATGTCAGTATGACGCCCAAAATCACAAGAGGGACTGTAATACCAACAATCAGCCCAATCTGGTTCTTCTTTTGATCAAGACCAACAGTTGGTTTGAATTCTGAGTAAAATTCAGTGAGAAGTATAACAGCAGATTAGCACATTTATAGTAATTCATCTAAAAAGAAGATTCAGAAAGATCACATAGTTTACCTGGAGTGACACTAACAGCTGAAATTAATGGTCCATAACTACCTGCGGCAGGTACACAGCAGGTCCCTTTACCAGTCCAAAATAGGTGAATCTCAAGATGGTTATCAGTCACATTAGCATCAAAGCTTGTGCGAATTGCTCTTCTAACCCCACCTGCCTCCTTTGTTATGTCAAAATCCTTCAATTGGCGAGTTCCCTACATGATATTTGATGAGAGACAGTATTATATTTTTCAGTGTAAAAATAAATAGTTGGCATTGTAATAGTAGAATCAGTAAAGGGCAAGGGTATGTTTCACAGGATCTCTAAATTACAATTTGATGAACGAATGTTTACCTGAATATATACATCAAAAACACGCCTTCCAAGACTCCCCCATTTTCTTGAGGTTCGATCTTCATAAATTATTTCAGCAAAGAACAAGCTTACATTGTAAACCCCATTCTCAAGACCAAGTCCATAATATCTGAGTGACCCAGGGGATTGTCTTGCTGTCTGATAAAGATCTGGTGTTGTAGTGTTAATCACTTCTGAGCCAGTATTTTGAGGAAGTGTGTTAAATTGTCCCTCAGAAAACAAGCCCACATTACTAACTGCCCATTTTTCAGAATTTAACACATTAAAAGAAGCTCCACCATCGTCGGCTTCATACACTATATTACCGACTCTCAACTGTTTACCACCACACTTGATTGCTAACCTTGAATCTGCAAATGCAAAAAATAAAAGCTCTAATGATAATATTAATCTGAATACAGCAAAGATTCAGACAAAATTTGAGAATTACTTTTATTTTAATAACTTCCAGTAACTTAATACAAAGATCATCACTAAATCAAACTAAAACAGATGTAAACACATTTATCAGACATGGAGCTTGATGGAGAGCTATTATNTAAATAGAAGAAGTAAAATGTACAATTCCTCCTGTCAATTGATAGAATTAGGGTTCAAAATTAGGTTATTTCAATAGAAATCGAAGATTAATTTATGAGATTGAAAACCCACCTGCTTGACTTTCGTTTGATTCAAGTTTCTCCTGCATACATATAAAACAATAAAGTTAACAAAAGGAAGGAGAAACAAAGAATCATTAGTTCAAATGTTTTCGAAATTCAGATCTAATGTTGAAGAGCAATAAATATATCATTAATATTTACCTACTAACTGACGAAGAAGAAGAGAGATTGATTAGTCATAACTAATTTTCGGTTGATTTGATAATCTTTCCGTCTATTGTAATCCGCGGGACATGAGAAATCTTGGACCAATCTTCACCTGTTTCTTGTTCGCATCTTTCGCTCAGTTTAGGACAGCCTCTAATTATAGGTTCTCTCAACGCGATGAGACAATCCATATCCTTGGGTAAAGATGACAATTCTGGACAATTTACAACAACAAGAACTTTAAGTTTTTGCATCGACTCTGGTAGTGCCTTCAAGTTGGAACAATTTAGAATCTCCAAACTCCCCAAAGTGTTAGTGGAACACTGAATAAGCCATTGCGGGAATTCCACCAATTGTGGTAATTCTTCAAATCGAAGGTGAGGCCATGTGCTATTGAGTTCATAATGATTGTCTTGCTTATCCGATCCTATGCTCAAATCAAGATTAAGCCTTTTACAACTTATCAAACCAAGATCTTCTAATGAGCTCAGGTTTCTCACACCATGTGGTAATGATATAAGTCTTGGACATTCATAAATCCATAGCGATCGAAGACCTTTGAGGCAACCAATATCTTCAAACAAATATTCTAAATTATTGCATTTGCAAATCGTCAAATGTCGAAGAGAATTCAAGCAACCAATACCATTGGTTGGTAGATGCTTTTGGAGGGTAGTTAATGAGAGACATCTAAGACTAATTAAGTATTTTACATCTCTTGTTAACGTTTTTAATTCCTCACAACCCGTTAGTGATATATTTCGCAAATTTTGCAATTTGTAAATGGAACTTGGGAGTTCTTTTATTTTAGGGTTGGATCCTAGATCAAGATGTCTCAAATGCTTCAAATTACCAATTCTTTTAGGCACTACTTCAATATTTGAAGAAAATAAATTTAACATCCGCAAGAATTTACACCTTGAGACTATTAATTCCAAAAATGATTGGCTAATACCAGTACTTTCACTAGTAATTGGATAAAAAGTAATGCTTCTCAGATGAGCCCAGTTAGGTAAAATGTTTGGAACATCTATTATAGGTGCATCAACAGAATGAAATGATAAGTGTCGATGACTTTTGATACAAATTTGGTTCGTGGATTTCACTATTAAGCACTCATTTCTCATCAATGATGTGGCAAGCTCTTGCATGAGATCATGAATTTTAAACATGTACAAATTCTCATGAAGTCGTACAATATCTTGGAAAAAAGATCTCAACATCAATTCTCTTACATATTGTTTACCAATATTTTCCAAATCTTGATTTTCATTGTGGGATTGAAGAAGCCCATGGGCCATCCAAATCTGAACCAATTCAGTACTATAAAAATGATGGTCTTTTGGAAAAAGGGAACAACAAAGAAAACATTGTTTCAAGTGAGGTGGCAGATGATTATAACTGATTCTTAAAGCATTTAAAATGTCATTTTCATTTTGATCCAACTTCCAAATCTCATTATCCCTCAAATTTTTCCAATCTTGTTCAGAAGTTGAGGAATAAAGTAGACTTCCTAACGCTCTTACTGCCAATGGAACACCTCTACATTTTTTTACAATTTCTATTCCAATTTCCACAAGGTTGGGATGTTGCTTTTCTCTCCCTTCTTTAAAAGCACATTTAACAAACACTGACAAACAATCATCAAGAGAAAGACCTTCTAACCTGTATGTAGGTACAGTGCCCATAATTGAGGCAACACGATCACTGCGTGTAGTTACGATAATTTTACTTCCACTAACACATTCCCTCAATAAATTTTTTAATTCAAACCACAACCCATAATCTTCATTCCAAACATCATCCAAAACTAACAAATATTTTTCATGGCTTAAGATATCACGTAGGATATTTTGCAATTGGTCAATACTCTTGTCAACATATTTTTTCTGAGTTACAGATTCGATGATGTCAATTAATAGTTTTTTCAAAACAAACTCATCTGACACACATACCCATATTTTCAACTTAAAATATTCACCCACTATTTTATCATTGTACACCAATTTGCCAAGTGCGGTTTTTCCTAGGCCTCCTATTCCAACAATAGGAATGACAGAAACATTTTCATGGCCATGACTTGGACGTAACAGTAATTTCATAATCTTCTCTTTATCTTTATCCCTACCAATAACATCTGAAGCACGCACAAATGAGTGAGTTTCCCTCTCCCTCTCCCTCTCCCAACCTATAACTTGATTGCTATCAACTTTCTCAATGAGATTAAAATTATCCTTATCAACTGCTATTTTTGCTAACCTCTTTTTAATCTCCTTAATTTTATGCCCCAACGTAAAACGGAAAGCAATTGGATTTGAGGATGAAAAAAAGTGGCGTACCTTTCTTGTACTACTTTGGCTATTCACCACTTGTTTACGCAAACCTTCTACCTCAATCTCGTCTAAAATATCTTTAGCATCATAGCAGATCTCCTTAAGCTTTCCCAGCCAAACTTTGAGCTTCTCACTATGGATCTGCTTGTCCTCAGCATCTAAGAGAACAGCTTTGATAGTGGTTAAGGTGTCAACAAGCTCTTGTGCATCTTTTTGGACACCCCATGCAAGGCCCATTTCATTGGAAGCAAGGGACGATAGCTTATCCAAGAGCTCCTCAGCAATAACAGAGACGATTGTTTCTGCCATATCTTTGAAAGAAAAGAAAATTGCAGGATTTTGTGTTTGTGAAGTAGTGAAGTTTGAATTGTTGTATTAGTCGCAAAAATACACATATGCTTATCAATGGTTGGTCCAGTTATCCCAACTGGAGCTGAATTAACAAACAATTTATAAAGCCATAGTAGCTCTATATTTAAGCAAATATGCACGGAGAAAGTAAATTGATAGTACACCAATTTTAGAAAAATAATATACATCAGAAAGAAAGACGCTTACAGCGCGGAGCATTCTTATTGCAGAGAAAGTCTCTGCAGACAGTTCAATCCTAGGAGACTGCTGGCAAGCACAGAGAACATTACCATTATCTTTGTTAAGCAGCATATTCCCTTGCCGAGGTTTCATATTCTAGTAATTTTTTTTCTTTAAGTGAGAGCCTTTTTTCGAAAATAAAATCTAATACCTATTTATAAAAAATGAAACTATAACTAACCTGATGTTTGAGCTTTCAAATGTAAAATTGTTGCCACTAATTCCTGTTCAATTCAATGCAAAGATAAATTATTACTTCAAAGTTTGAAGTATACTAACTAGAGATATACTATATTAAAATCAGAGCATGACAAATAATCAACTATGTTAAAAGAACATCAGAAATGAGCTGCGACTTTATTGTACGCCAAATGGTTATTCCAAGTGACATTTGTTGGACATCGAAATTCAAGCACATCAGCAATTAGTCGGGCGCTGTTAAGTATTTTGATAATTGTCACATGATAGAGAAAACTGAATCACTAAAGTGCTAAGTGTAGCCATGAAAATGAATACTCAACAATTTCTCATATGTCACTCTGGTTCTCTTGAACTGGCATGATTGTCGTAAATTTTATTATGATTAATTCATACAATCCATGTAAACATATAATCTATTAACAAAACAAGGAAAGAGGATTATTGAGCTCCACAATGCCTAGGTCCAAAGCAAGTTTTGATTTTTGAAATGAAGATGGAAAACTAAGTATTATGGTTCAAGAGCATACAGCTGTTTGAACCTGTAGACACCCACATGGAAAAGTTCCGCTAGATAAATTGCAAGATAATCTCTGCAGGTATATTAACACCAGTTAGAAGGAATAATATGCAGCAACATACAGATCTAAAAAGGAACAAATCACTCGAGATTTTCAATTGCTTTCATCAATTACTTGTTTAAAAAAGTGATTAAACTAACTATATTAATTTTTGACTTTTAAATGGGGTGGCCTATTTCCAAGATAAATATCAGAGGCACTAGTCCCTTTTCATTCTTCTTCCTTGTACATGGAAAAATTTTGTATGAAGATATTTATTAACCTATTCATGAACATTTGGCACCAAATCTCTCCACTCTTCTAAATTGAAGCTCTAAAACTTTCAAGGCGATACAACAAAATGGACATATAACATCCATCTAACTAGACAAGATATATAGGGCATAAATTCTCAGTTAACTTAAATAAGGCTTAGATGTTTTGAAGATATAGAGTATTTTGCTGAGGAAGGTTCCTGACAGCAATCGTTTTCCAAGAAACCTAGTGAGAGAAGCAAAAACACAAGTGATGTACAATTAATGAAACAAGAAGGATCAGAGAAAATCTAAAATAAGAAACTAAATAACTTAAATACAAAGTACTCAAATCTAGAAATCGAATAGGGAAGCTTTCAATAAATTACAAGTGAGTAAGAGAATCGACACAAATTAAAGCACTTGGATTTGAATAATTAAGTTGTTGAAACTCAAATCCCTGCAGATAAGAAAATACTAACCTACAGTGTCTGTAAACTTGGAGACAAGGGTGTGTTGAGGCAAGATGATTACTGCAAACTGAGCTTGAGATCTTAACAAGAAGCGAAATTTAAACACTCAGATATTCTTTCAAAATCTGACTTCTCTACTTTCCCTTTGATTGAAAGTGAAATAGAACGGCAGCATTAAGATATGCGTATTTTGGAATTGATTATAATACATATTATAGATTATTTTCTAATAAATTTAATTAATAATGGAGCTTAAAAATATTTACTAGGGTTTAATACCACCACTCAATAAAGAAAAATTTCAAATTACCCAAATTAATCCAAATGGATCGTGAAATTATCAAGAAATGGCGTTGTGAAACGTCCATTGATCATGTTTTAAGAGGTATTTATGGTTTGTGTTTGGTTTATTATTTTGGATAAGATTTTGGGGGATAGATTAGTTGTTGGATAGGGGAGTAATTACTATAGGTAAACTTTAAAATTTATGAAAAAGCCCGTAGGTTTACTAATTTAATTAAAGACCCTAATATATAAAATAACAAAACACCTCTACCACTTACAGTGCCGATTCCGACCACCACGCCGAATCTGGCCGGACAATTTCGTTATGACACAGATTGGTCAGATCTGTGCCGTACCGCGGTTATGCCCTTTTCCGTATCGATCTATCACGGATCTAGCCGAAAAGGCCAGATCTATGAACTGCTGTGGCTGCGACGGCCGAAAAACGGCTAAAACGACGCCAAAGATATGGTCGTCGTTGATGGCAGATTTGGCCGGAAGGCCAGATATGACCATTACTGGCTATTTTTGGTGTTGTGTGACTATTGTGAGTATTCTGGCTACCACCAGCAGTGGTTGTCGGAATCTGGCAGTTTGGTAAGTGAGGGGTTTTTGTTAGTTTTTAAACTTTTTTTCTAGGGTATTTAATAAAATTAATAAACTTAAGGGTCTCAACATAATTAAAAAATACACTAATATTTTGGGAATAATGTGCCAAACAATATTAAAAAATAGGATTGAGAATAGGAATAAAAATAAGTCAAACGCACCCTATAATTTTTACGTTTAGGCTTTAGGTTTTAAGAAATGAGAATTAGAGCCCAATGAATTAGTATAGATCTGACTTCTTACTCTTTAGCCTCTATCTACTTGGGCTTTTTGTAGATATCTCTTTAACCATGGGCTAGTGGATTACAAGAATGCTAAACACCACCCCATCTCTTTGGAAGTACACCACTAAGGTTATTTTTGAGATGAGAGTTTACAAAGGGTACGTTTAAGAAAGTTGGCCATACTTAATGATTCACTTCTTTGTTTTGAGTTCTACAAGAAAATTGAAAGAATTAACTCAAAAAAAAAAAAAAAAAAACTTTAAAGAAGGAAACAGTTTCTTCATATATAGATAACTAAGCTTAATCAAAAAATCAAAAAGCACTTTTGAGAATATTTTTTGGTTAAAACTTAAGAAGAAGAGTAAGAGAACGTACCTTCGATTGGATCAGTAGTGGCAATTTGAATGAAGTTTTGAAAGATAGAAAAATGGAAAGATAAATGCAGAATAATGAGCGAAAGATGATGAAGAAGAGAAGAAGATGAATCATTTGAGCAGTTGATTTTGGGCATACTTAGTATTCACTATAATTAATTGCCAATATGACAAAATTTTTTTGATGTAATAGCCAAAAAATTCTGAGGTTTTTGAAACAAAAAACTCCCCATGCCATTGATAGTCATTAAAATTTATACAATACTTCCTCCACTGTTTATGTATAACACTGACAACTTGATATTAAAATTTTATTATTATTTATCAAATCTAGGGATTAGTATCATTAAATTTTGACTATTATCACATTTTCCACAAAATAAATAAATATATTCACTTATAAAGTATAACATTCTCTCCATTAAAATATGTCTATTTCATTATACAAGATTGTATTCGAAATTAGGATGAATATATAATGGATACTCTTTTTTTTTTTTTTTTTTTTTTTTTTTTTTTCTCATTTAAACCCAACCCAATTGAGCATTAGTGCCAAAATCTAAAACAGAATAAGATTAAGACTAATTAATAGATTGTTAGTCAACAATAATGATAATTAATACATAATTTTTTATTAACTAACTAATTACATGTGTGCAACATGCTTGAAACTCCTAAGTAAAAAATCAATTCAGAAGAAAAGGAAAAAATTAAAGAAAAAGGAGAAAGTTTGCTAATCTCACCATAAAAGTTAGTTCTTAAGGTTTCCAAGCTCTTTAGGGGGAGCCAAGAAAGTAGAAATACATTGGTGGCCAACCTCTCCTAGCACATGAAAGAAAAGTTATAACAAAATCAACACTCATGTACCAAAAAATAATCATATATAATCTAACCTAGGTTTTCAATCATAAGGGTATTTATCAATATTTACAAATACTTCAATTGAGATAATTTCCAATACATGCATAGTAAGAGACTATGAAGTAACTTCGTTTGATTCAACTGCAATGTTAAATAGAAAAACTAAATCAAATTTGATTTAATGTCCCATTAGTTAGTAGAACGATAAAAGGTCAAATTTGACTTATACAAATCAACGCAGGAATGAATGGAACTCCATACAAATTTGTCAGAAATGCAAAGCCACTAGTTCTTGGAATCACTCTTTTATGTCTAGAGCATATACACTCCTACAAAAATAAAGACAAGTTTCCAATCATATCTCCTCAATTGATTCTGATTACAGATCAAACTCTCTTGCCTTAGGAAAAATACACACTGAAGGATAAATTGTATACACAACTTTAGGGAAAGTTTTTAACCAAAAGTTAAGATCCATCTAAAGTATCGAAAATAATCTACACATATAGCATAAACAGTTCATAAAAAGTTATGAATAATCAAAAACTAATGCCAATACCACAACTAACCCCAAACCCAATCTCAATCTAAGTAATGTAATCTGTCTATACTCGAAAAAAACCTGAAACAATTAATGTGAAAATTCCCCCTAAATTTGTGTAGAGAGAAAAAGATTATAGCTCAGTGAGTGGCAAGTTGAGCCATTTTTTAAACGAACAGTCACATTTGAAATCGAAAAGTGTGGGTGAATTCCCCCAGTGGTGCCAACGATGTTGCAATCCACCCCCACAAAAATGAAATGTTTTCAACCAATTTTGATGGAATTTCAACTTAATTTTGTCCCTTTTTATTTAGCTTTCTCCTGCACAGCTTTTAAACAAATAAATAATTTTGCTAAATGGGGTTCACTTCAATTGAAGCTAGCTACTCATAAATTAGTAAAGTTTATATTTCTTAAACAATTCTTATTTCAATAATAAAACAAATAATTCATAAATAAAATAAAATACACACGTAAAGAAAGGAAGAGAGAGAGTACCTCATTAGGGTCAGTATTTGAGCAATGGAGTTGTGAAATACAAAGAAAAGATGAAGCAACGTGGGAAATCCTAAAGAAAAAAGTAGCATATGGAATTTGTAAAGTTGAAAATAAATCAACACATTGGAAAATTGGATAAGATGCAATTCTAATCACGTATCTATAGAATATATATAATCAAGTAAATTGTTTCTGTCAAATGACAAAAAAATACAAATCTTGAAATTGTACAATCTAAAAACCAATGAAATTGTACCTGAAAAATGAGAACCAAGTCTTTTGTGCGATTCCAACTCGACATAAGTGAAATTCTTCGGTTTAGGTCCTATTCCATGTATTAGCATATTGAAGCAAGACAAATGATTACATAACCTTGAAGGACTTGCATAGAAGAGATGAATTACAGCAACAACTTTGCTTGTCTTATGGAATACACTACTGCTAGCCCATATTTTAACAACGAGATATAAGATCCAGTCTTAAGTTCGAGGGCTAGAATATAATTCAACACTTCTGTTACAACCATATTCTGGTATCTACTTTTCTCAAATGCCCCAAGAACCTTAACTTGAGCAGAAGTGAATAATGCAATTAATTGATTTTCATGAGAACTTGGTTTTAGAGAGTTTATGACTACTATACTGTTAAATTCTATTGGGTTTCTCACCTTCCGTATCATATTTGTGTTCTCATCCTCAGTAAAAAACTAAAATATCGGTATGATGCCAAAAATCACAAGAGGGACTATAATAGCAACGATCACACTAGTCCGGTTCTTTCTTTTGTTCAAGACCAATAGTTGGTGGGAATTTGAGTAAAAGTTAGTGAGAAGATATCAATAGATTAGCACTTTATAGTAATTCATCTAAAACGAAGTTTCAGAGAGATCACATAGTTTTACCTGGAGTGACACTAAGAGCTGAAATTAAGGTCATACTACCGCGGGAGGTACACAGTAGGTCCCTTTACCAGCCCAAAATAGTTGAATCTCAAGATGTTATCAGTCACATTAGCATCAAAGCTTCTGCGAATTCTCTTCTAAACCCACGTGCCTCTTTGTTATGTCAAAATCCTTCAATTGCAGTTCTCTACATGATATTGTGGGAGAGACAGTATATACTTTTCAATATAAAATTGCAATAGTAGAATCGGTAAAGGCAAGGTAATTTTCACAAGATCTCCAAGATTACATTTGATGACCGATGTTTACCGAAATAAATCAAAACATCTTCTAAGACTCCTCCATTTTCTTGAGGTTCGACTTCATAAATTATTTCAGCGAAGAACAAGCTTACATTGTAAACCCCATTCTCAAGACCAAGTCCATCATATTGAGTGACCCAGGGGATGTCTTCTATCTAATAAAGATCTGGTGTTGTAGTGTTAATCACTTCTGAGTTGGTATTTGAGGAAGTGTGTTAAATTGTCCCTCAGAAAACAAGCCACATTACTAGTGCCCATTTTTCAGGTTTACGACAATTAAAAGAAGCTCCACCATCGTCGGCTTCATACACCATATTGTCGACTCTCATGTTTACCACCACACTTAATTGCTAACCTTGAATCTGCAAGCAAGATCAAAAGCTCTTATGATAATATTAATCTGAATACAGTAAAGAACCAACAAAATTTGAGAATAATATAACTTCCACTAACTTATACAAAGATCATCCTAAATCAAACTATAACAGCTGACATAAGTTATAGACATGGAGCTTGATGGAGAACTATTATTTTGAAGTTTATGGCCAATGCATACATATAAAACAATAGAGTTAACAAAGAATGAGAAATCGAGAATCATTAGTTAAATGTTTTTCGAAATTAGATCTAATGATGAAGAAGAGAGCAATAAATATATCATAATATTTACCTACTAAATGATGAAGAAGAAGAGAGATTGATTAGTATACCTAATTTTTGTCGTTTGTGATCTTCCTGCGTCGAATGTACGGGATATGAGAATCTTGACCAATCTTCACCTGTTTCTGTTCGTATCTTTGCGTCAATTTAGAACGCTATCAATTGTAAGTTCTCTCAAAGAGATGAGACGATCCATATCCTTGGGTAAGAGCACAATTGGCATCCTATATAAGAACTGAAGTTTTTGCATCGACTCTGGTAGTGCCTTCAAGTTGGAACAATTTTAGAATGACCAACCCTTTCTGAAATACTCACAACAAAATCTACTAGATATTTTGAAATACTGAGCAGCACATTCTAAAATGGAGTATTAAGGAAGAATGGTAGTCAAGGAATGATTGCAGCAGCTTACCTGGTCCCTGCAACTCTGGTGCTGATGTGAGTTTTAGTGTCATCATACAGCTTTGCCAATCCGAAATCTGATATCTTTTGGCAGAGTTTTGCATCAAGTAAAATATTACTTGTTTTGACATCTCAATGTATAGATCTTTGGCCTAGAATCCTCATGAAGATATGCTAGACCTCTTGCAGTTCTCAAGCATATTTTGAACCAGGTAGGCCAATCAAGATGCCTCTCCCTTCTTCCTGCATAAACATAGCTGCAATCATTAAGATCTTCCAAGAGTTATTAACGTTGATAATTGAGAAATCACCGACAATTTATCTCCAGAAATGACTTGGAGCTTATTAAAATAATGTCAATCAGCTCTTTGGAAATCATTTCCCTACTCTTGTACTAAATGCATTTTACAGAGCAGTGCAAATATTTCTCTTTATATACTAAAACATTTGAAAGTCATCACAAATGTATTTTGTACTGCAAAATTCATTGTTTATAACTGGTAGTAAATCATCAGATAGAAATCACATGCACTGATTTGGAGTTGCTTGCAAGAAAAGCAAAGTAGAAAATTTTAAACTAAGGTTGATCATCAATTAGCATCTTCATACCAAACAATACTTGATTAAGACTTTTGTTTTGAAGATAGTCATAAACAAGGAGGAGCCTAGTTCCCTCGATGCAGCAACCATCTAATTTCACAAGATTGCGATGTTGCAATGCAATTATGGTAGCAATCTCATTAACAAACTTATTTTTCCCTTGGTGGGATCCTGGTGAAAGTTGCTTCACAGCTATTACCCTTCCATCAGAAAGTGTACCCTTTAGCACCAGATTTATTTACATAAATCATAGCTGCTCCATCCTTGGTGAGTTTCCAAAAGCTGAAATTCACCTATTTTTCCTGTTATACAACATTTCAACCCAAGTTCCCAGTGTACTATTTATCGTTTGTAACTTGTAAATGTAAGATATAAAAGTTACCTATTACAAAGGTCCAAATCCTCCCTGGCCAAGCTTATTTGGACGGTCGAAGTCTTGTGTTGCAGACCTCAACTCAGCATAACTGAAAATTTTTAGTTTAGGTCCTATTCCAAGTAGCACTACATATTGAAGCAACATAAAAGAATACATAACGTTGAGGATTTACATGACAAGAGATGAATTACAACAGAAGCTTTGCCTATTTCATGGAATATGCTATTCGTAGTTTTGAAATTAGATATCAGAAGCCCATATTTTGTATCTGTTATAAGGATAAGATATTATATATCTGTTATTTATGTTTCTTCGGTGCACCAAAACAAAAATCACATTTATGCTACACCTATATTCTGGAATGCTGAAGTGAAATGCAAATTCATTGATTTTCAAAAACAAACTTGGTTACAAAGATTTTACAACTTCTATTTTCTAAAAAATCTCTTTGGCACTCTTACCTTCTGCATCATCATTATCTCTTTTTATCCTCAAGTGAAGAATTAAAAATATCAGTATCAAACCCAAACTTCCAAGAGCTACAGCAATACCAACAATCAACCCACTCTTCTTCTTCTTTCGTCTAATACCAACAGTTGGTGTGAAATCTGACTAGGAAGTCTATTAGAAAGCATTTAAGCACAGTTATTGCAACTCATCTTATACGAAGATTTAAAAGAATCTCATAGTTTACTAGGAATGACACTTAAGAGCTGAAATTAATGACCCATAGCTACCTCCTTCAGCTATGCAACAGGTCCCTTTACCAGCCCATAATAGGTGAATTTCAAGATAGTTCTCAGACACATTAGCATTAAATTTGTTTGTAATTGCTTTTCCTTCCCCACCTGCTCTTGTTGATATGTCAAAATCTTTTAACTGGAGAGTCCTACAGGATCAATTAGGAAAGAAAACAGATGAAATTGTAATAGTCAAAACTATATATATAATAAGGGTATGAACCAAAATTTTCCAGTGAATGTTTACCTGAATATAGATATCAAAAACATGCCTTCCAAGACTCATCCACTTTTGTGAGCCCTGATCACCAAAAACTGTCTCAGCAAAGGACAAACTTACATTGTGAAGTCCATTCTCCAGATGAAGTCCATAGAATCTAAGTGATCCCGAGGATTGCCTTGAAGACTGATAAAGCTTCGGGCCTGCGGTGCCAGTCACTTGCGAGCCAATATTTTGAACATTGAGTGTTAAATTGTCCATCAGAAAACAAACCCGCACCACTAATTGCCAATTTTTCGGTATCAAGAACAATACAAGAAGCTCCACCAAGATCATAGCCATCGGCCTCACACACTATAATATCAACCTTCATTTCTTCACCACCACACTTGATTGCAAAACTTGAATCTGCAGTCGCAAAAATACACTATGCTATCAATTTGGTCCAGTTATCCCAACTGGAGCTGAATTAACAAACAATTTATAAAGCCATAGTAGCATCTATATTTAAGCAAAATAATGCACGGAGAAATGTAAATTGATAGTACACCAAATTTTAGAAAAATAATTATACATCAGAAAGAAAGACGCTTACAGCGCGGAGCATTCTTATTGCAGAGAAAGTTTCTCTGCAGACAGTTCAATCCTAGGAGACTGCTGGCAAGCACAGAGAACATTACCAGTTATCTTTGTTAAAGCAGCATATTCCCTTGCCGAGGTTTCATATTTCTAGTAATTTTTTTCTTTAAGTGAGAGCCTTTTTTCGAAAATAAAATCTAATACCTTATTTATAAAAAATGAAACTATAACTAACCTGATGTTTGAGCTTTCAAATGTAAAATTGTTGGCCACTAGATTCCTGTTCAATTCAATGCAAAGATAAATTATACTTCAAAGTTTGAAGTATACTAACTAGAGATATACTATATTAAAATCAGAGCATGACAAATAATCAACTATGGTAGAAAGACATCAGAAATGAGCTGCGACTTTATTGTACGCCAAATGGTTATTCCAAGTGACATTTGTTTGGACATCAGAAATTCAAGCACATCAAGGCAATTAGTCGGGCGCTGTTAAGTATTTCTGATAATTGTCACATGATAAGAGAAAACTGAATCACTAAAGTGCTAAGTGTAGGCCATGAAAATGAATACTCAACAATTTCTCATACTGTCATCTGGTTCTCTTGAACTGGCATGATTGTCGTAAATTTTATTATTGATTAATTCATACAATCATGTAAAACATTATAATCTATTAACAAAACAAGGAAAGAGGATTATTGAGCTCCACAATGCCTAAGGTCCAAAGCAATGTTTGATTTTTAGAAAATGAAGATGGAAAACTAAGTTATTATGGTTCAAGAGACATACAGCTGTTTTGAACCTGTAGACACCCACGATGGAAAAGTTCCTGATAGATAATTGCAAGATAAATCTCTGCAGGAGTATATTAAGCACCAGTTAGAAGGAATAATATGCAGCAACATACAGATCTAAAAAAGGAACAAATCACTCGAGATTTTCAATTGCTTTCATCAATTACTTGTTTAAAAAAAGTGATTACAACTAACTATAGTTAAGATTTTTGACTTTTAAATGGGGTGGCCTATTTCCAAGATAAATATCAGGAGCACTAGTCCCTTTTCATTCTTCTTCATTGTACATGGAAAAATCTTTGTATGAAGATATTTATTAACCTATTCATGAAACATTTGGCACCAATATCTCTCCACTCTTCTAAATTGAAGCCTCTAAAACTTTCAAGGCAGATACAACAAAAATGGACATATAACATCCATCTAACTAGACAAGATATTATAGGGCATAATTCTCAAGTTAACTTAAATTAAGGCTTAGATGTTTTGAAGATATAGAGTATTTTGCTGAGGAAGGTTCCTGACAGACAATCGTTTCCAAGAAACCTAGTGAGAGAAGCAAAAAACAAGTGATGTACAATTAATGAAAGAAGAAGGATCAGAGAAAATCTAAAATAAGAAACTAAAACTAACTTAAATACAAAGTACTCAAATCTAGAATCGATAGAGGGAAGCTTTCAATAAATTTACAAGTGAGTAAGAGAATCGACACTAAATAAAGCACTTGGGATTTGAATAATTAAGTTGTTGAAACTCAAATCCCTGCAGAAGTAAGAAAATACTAACCTACAGTGTCTGTAAACTTGGAGACAAGGGTTGTGTTGATGGGCAAGATGATTACTGCAAACTGAGCTTGAAGATCTTAACAAGAAGCGAAATTAAACAATCAGATATTCTTTCAAAATCTGACTTCTCTACTTTCCCTTTGATTTGAAAGTGAAATAGAACGGCAGATTAAGAATATGCGTAATTTTGGAATTGATTATAATACATATTATAGATTAATTTTCTAATAAATTTAATTAATAATGGAGCTTATAAAAATATTTACTAGGGTTTAAATACCACCACTCAATAAAGAAAAATTTCAAATTAACCCAAATTAATCCAAATGGATCGTGAAATTATCAGAAGAAATGGCGTTGTGAAGAAACAGTCCATTGATCATGTTTTAAGAGGTATTTATGGTTGTGTTTGGTTTATTATTTTGGATAAGATTTTGGGGGATAGTATTAGGTTGTTGGATAGGGGAGTATTACGAGGTAAACTTTAAAAATTTATGAAAAAGCCCGTAGGTTTACTAATTTAATTAAAGACCCTAATATATAAAATAACAAAAACACCTCTACCACTTACAGTGCCAGATTCCGACCACCACTGCCGGAATCTGGCCGAAAAATTTCGTTATGACACAGATTGGTCAGATCTGTGCCGTAACGCGTCGTTATGGCCTTTTCCGATCAGATCTATCACGGATCTAGCCGAAAAAGGCCAGATCTATGAACTGCTGTGGCTGCGACGGCCGAAAAAGGCTAAAACGACGGCCAAAGATATGGTCGTCGTTGATGGCAGATTTGGCCGGAAAAGGCCAGATATGACCATTACTGGCTATTTTTGGTGGTTGTGTGACTATTGTGATAGATTCTGGCTACCACCAGCAGTGGTTGTCGGAATCTGGCAGTATTGGTAAGTGAGGGTGTTTTTGTTAGTTTTTAAACTTTTTTTCTAGGGGGTATTTAATAAAATTAATAAACTTATAGGGTCTCAACATAATTAAAAAATACACTAATATTTTGGGAATAATGTGCCAAACAATATTTAAAAAATAGGATTGAGAATATGAATAAAAATAATAAGTCAAACGCACCCTATAATTTTTACGTTTAGGCTTTAGGTTTAAGAAATGAGAATTAGATGCACAATTGAATTAGGTATAAGCTGATTCTTACTCTTTAGCCTCTATCTACTTGGGCTTTTTGTAGTGATATCTCTTTTACCAATGGGCTAGTGGATTACAAGAATGCTAAACACACCCCATCTCTTTGGAAGTACACCACTAAGGTTAATTTTGAGATGAGAGTTTACAAATGGGTACGTTTAAGAATAAGTTGGGCCATACTTAATGATTCACTTCTTTGTTTTGAGTTCTACAAGAAAATTGGAAAGAATTAACTCAAAAAAAAAAAAAAAAATCTTTAAAAGAAGGAACAGTTTCTTCATATATAGATAACTAAGCTTAATCAAAAATCAAAAAGCACTTTTGAGAATTATTTTTTGGTTAAAACTTAAAAGAAAGAGTAAGAGAACGTACCTTCGATTGGATCAGTAGTGGCAATTTGAACAGTTGATTTTTGAAAGATTAAGAAAATGATCAAGCAAATGCAGAATAAATGAGCGAAAGATGATGAAGAAGAAGAAGAAGATGAATCAATTTGAGCAGTTGATTTTTGGGCATACTTAGTAATTCACTATATATGTAATTGCCAAATATGAACAAAATTTTTTTGATGTAATAGCAAAAAAAATTCTGAGGTTTTTGAAACAAAAAAACTCCCCATGCCATTGATAGTCATTAAAATTTATACAATACTTCCTCCAACTGTTTATTATAACACTGACAACTTGATATTAAAATTTTTATTATTATTTAATCAAATCTCAGGGGATTAGTATCATTAAATTTTGACTATTATCACATTTTCACAAAAATAAATAAATAAATATTTCACTTATAAAGTATACATTCTCTCCAATTAAAATATGTCTAATTTCATCTATACAAGATTTATGTATTCAGAAATTAGGATGAATTATTAAATAGGATACTCTTTTTTTTTTTTTTTTTTTTTTTTTTTTTTTCTCATTTAAACCCAAGCCCAATTTGAGCATTAGTGCCAAAATCTAAAAACAGAATAAGATTAGACTAATTACTAGTTTTAGTCAACAACTAATTGATAATTAATAACATAATTTTTTATTTAACTAACTAATTACATGTTGGCAACATGCTTGAAACCCTCCCTAAGTATAAAATATCAATTCCAGAAGAAAAGAGAAAAAATTAAAGAAAAAGGAGAAAGTTTGCTAATCTCACATAAAAGTTAAGTTCTTAAGGTTTCCAAGCTCTTTAGGGGGAGGCCAAGAAAGTAGAAAGTACATTGTGGCCAACCTCTCTAGCACATGAAAGAAAAAGTTATAACAAAATCAACACTCATGTACCAAAAATAATCATATATAATCTAACCTAGGTTTTCAATCATAAGGGTATTTATCAATATTTACAAATACTTCAATTGAGATAAATTTCCAATACATGCAAGTAAGAGACTAATGAAGTAACTTCGTTTGATTCAACTGCAATGTTAAATAGAAAAACTAAATCAAATTTGATTTAATGTCCATTAGTTAGAAACGATAAAGGTCAAATTTGACTTATACAAATCAAACGCAGGGAAATGAATGGGAAAATCCATACAAATTTGTCAGAAATTGCAAAGCCACTAGTTCTTTTGGAATCACTCTTTTTATGTCTAGAGCATATACACTCCTACAAAAAATAAAGACAAGTTTCCAATCATATCTCCTCAAATTTGATCTGATTACAGATGCAAACTCTCTTGCCTTAGGAAAAATACACACTTGAAGGATAAATTGTATACACAACTTTAGGGAAAGTTTTAACCAAAAGTTAAGATCCATCTAAAGTATCAGAAATAATCTACACAATATAGCATAAACAGTTCAATAAAAAGTTATGAATAATTCAAAAACTAATGCCAATACCACAACATTAACCCCAAACCCAATCTCAATCTAAGTGAATGTAATCTGTCTATACTCGAAAAAAACCTGAAACAAGTTAATGTGAAAATTCCCCTAAATTTGGTAGAGAGAAAAGAGATTATAGCTCAGTGATGTGGCAAGTTGAGCCATTTTTAAACGAACAGTCACATTTGAAAATTCGAAAAGTGGTGGGTGAATTCCCCCAGTGGTGCCAACGATGTTGCAAATCCACCCACCACAAAAATGAAATGTTTCATAACCAATTTTGATGGAATTTTCAACTTAATTTTGTCCCTTTTTATTTAGCTTTCTCCTGCACAGCTTTTAAACAAAATAGAATATATTTTGCTAAATGGGGTTCACTTCAATTGAAGCTAGCTACTCATAAATTAGTAAAGTTTAATATTTCTTTAAACAATTCTTTATTCAATAATTAAAACAAAT